TTTGGTCACATAAAACGGCGGCCTTTCGATGACCCGGGTAGGAGAGTAGAGGTATTAGATTTGATTTATGTTAAGAAAGGTAGAGACAGACCTAAAAAGTGTTGGTTAGAAAATATTAGGAAGGACCTTTCTTTATTAGATTTAAACGAGAATTTGACTTTTAATAGGACACAATGGAGGAAAAGGATTCATGTAGCCGACCCCACGTAGTGGGATAAAGGCTTGATGATGATGATGTTGTTGTTGTATAGTTCAACCCTCATTACAAAATAGAATTAAAAAAGCTAAGAAGATAGATGAAGAGTATGCGAAGTTGATTGATCGAATCCGTTCTGGAAAAAAAATTGAATTACAAATAGATGATCAAGGTGTAATATTTTGAATAACAAAGTCTGTTTATTTTCTTCCTATGAAATAAATTGATTTAGTCGATAAGTTGGCTCAACTGTACGTAATTATTAGATTGCATGAAATTCCTAAAGTTAATTATCCTCTCTATTTGAGAGAAGGATTTGTGGTGGTGCTGAGGCGATGAAAGTCATCACCGCAGTGGTGCTAGGCTCTCGAGTTTGAGCGATATGGGAGTATCTAAAATATACATATGTGCACAATGACGCTTAGGAAGTGAGTGCCATGGTATTGGACCTAAAATGATGTTTTTAAAATAAATTATCTAAAACCATTTTAATCCCACTCACCCATCCCCATTGTTGGAGAAGAAAGAGAAGTGAGAGAGAGAAGGAGAGAGAAAGAAGAGAGAGAGAGATTCAGCTCGAGATTTGTTCAATTGGCCAGTTGAGAATTTCGTAGAGCACGAGGTAGACTTTTAAATACATGTCTTTAATTTCAATTCTCTTAATTTTATATTATGTTATAAATAAAAACATGTTTTTCCCTAGTCTTGCGATGCTTTCACCATGCAATATTTTGTATATTGCTTGATACTTTATTTTGAACATTTCGACTGTAAAAACTTGAATTTTTATTGGTTAGTTTCCTCTGTGATGATTTTTATGTATATTGATTAAATGAAACATTCTGATTTTAAAAAAATTTCATTTGTAGCCTTAAAATATCACTCTAAAAATTTCTTCAAATTCTTATTGAAATGAAAAATATACCATGGGTATGCTTTTGCACACTTAATGTGGGGTTTAATATTGACAAAGTTGGTAGTTTACGCATTATCATAATCATGTATTAAAGTTATAATAATATATTAAACATTCTTTTTGCATAATTCATAGTATAATATTGGAGAAGTTCTAATATTTTGAAAGTTGCAAGTACACTCTTTGAAATGATAGAAGGGCCCTATATTTTCTGCTATATCCTCATCATCCTTATGTGGATGTGGAAGGGATTCTGACCCCACTTGCTGAATGCGGGTATGGGAGATTATTCGGTTTTGTTTTGTTATGGCCTCACTTGCTGTATGCGAGTGTTAGAGGTTAGATGGAGTTATAAGTGGAAGTAGAGTTATAATTAGATATTAGAGCATTTGCATTATATTCATTCATTGCATATTCTATAAATTTTTTGAATTAAATACAAATAATATTTGGAACATACTTTTATATGTCTAGGATTTTTTGATGAAATATGAAAGTTTAAGTGCAAACATGGTTTTGATGATAAGTATATTTTTGAACCCCTGTGAAATCTATCTGTGAAGGTATAAATAACGACTCTAAAATTAAGTGCATTCTGATAATTGCCAGAAGTTTGCTTTTTGTTAGCATTTAAGTTATACTTTATTAATTAATTGAATATTTGAATAATTTGGGCAACATTTGAGTGGATATTAATATTTGTGATATGAGTGTGAAGGAAGTCTACTGAGTTAGCGGTGCTTTCTTTATTATATTTATCTGGTATTTTAGAAAAAAAGGGAGGGCCTAGTGGGGTAGAAAGAGAAAAGGGCATGGTCGTTTTGTTTAGGACATTTGAGGTATTCTTTTGTAATATTGATTAAATTCTCTTGATGTTTAGTTTGCATGTAAGTTGGATTATTGTATATATGTTTTGAAAAATGAAATTGGATGAAGCTTAGATTATTATTATGATTTTTGATTTTGTAGTTAGCTCTAGTTTATCTACATAGTGGTTGAGATAAAATTTAGCTTTAAGGATTTAATCCCTCCATTAGATCCTGGGGCATCACAATTTCTTTTTTATTGTTAGCAAGTTAGCCTTCTCTCCTATGATGGGCAAGCACCACTCTGGCTATGTGAACTGAGCTAGCTGGGATAGGCTTGTTGTTGCTTCCTTCCATTGGGGCTTTTCCTGGGTATTGACCAGGATCAATGAGTATAAACTCCTTCAACTTGTTCAGCTTTGATAAGCTCTTCTACTAATCCTTGGAGGTGTTGACACTTCTATGTGTCATAGCCATGGTTTAAAAAGGTGTTTGAGGGTTGCACCTCAAGGCGTGCCTCGATTTGAGGAGCATCTTGGACACCTCGAGGCTTAAGCCTTAGTTGTTTGGCTTAGGCTTATGATTTTCTTCATTGAGGTGTTAGCCTCGAGGTAGCTTGAGGCGCCTCCTCAATTACTTTTATTTAATTTTTTTAGTTATGAAGAGTCGAGAGCGCTTATTAGATTTTGAGTTTCATGGGTTCGAAACATTTTTTCCAATATTTGCCCCCCTTTACAGCTTGCAATGAAGGAAACACTCTCTCGGCTTCATGTGCACTACTTCAGCCTTGAATACTTCATTCTCGACTACTTGGCCTCGCTTCGTGTTAGGACGAGTTCTTCGTGATGAGGTAACAATCCATCTTCCCTTTCGAGCTTGTGTTGGCTTTGACAGCGTCGTGAGAAACAATAATGAAATTTAAGACGTGCATTTCTTATATGAAGCATTTATTTTGAAGTTAGATCAGCTTAATTTATATTTATCAAAATTTAATAATTTCATCTTACTTTATTGCTTTTTCTAGTTTAGGTCAAGCTGGAAGTAATCTGTTGGACACCACATATAATACTTTTCATAGTTTCTTAAGCATCGAGGTATAAATTTATAGCTTTTTTCTTTACGAATACATAATTTTTAGTTGTCAATGTTCTTTAATTGCAACGACCTATTTTTGAATGAATTTTATCACGAATAATTCTTTTTCATGTGAATCGTATTTGCTATAACTTTCAATTTTTTTTAATTTATATGATTGAATTGCCTACATATCAAGATCTTTTCTTAAATTTATATGATTTAATCATATGGAAGTATCATTTAGACAGGCTAAAATTAGGTTGATGGAGAAAAGAGTGATTTTTGTGAGTATTTTTTTTCAATTTTCTTTCCAATAACATTTATCTTCAAATAAGCCTTTATGTTCATAATTACTTAATATTTTATCAATTTATGTGTTATTTGTAACTTTTTTAGTAATTTAATTTTTTCCGTTTTGAGGCTTACGCCTCCATCCGCCTCAAGGCATATGCCTCACCTTACTAAGGCAAAACGCCTCGATTCCTGATATCGCCTTTTCAAACCTTGGTCATAGCTATTATCTTTATAGAAAACACAATACCTGGATGTGTCTTTGGCATGCGTGTTTGCCTTCATGGGCATTAGGCATTTAAAAAAAGGCTTTGTTTTGAATGACCTCAAAAACTTGGCCCTGGTACTCTTAATGTGGTATAGGTGGGATAAGCTGGGTTAAGTGTGCGACTTGTGCTTGGGGCGAGTGGCAAGACAAATTTTATCCATCCTTGGAGTGGGTGCTCCTGCAATCTTTAATGGTCTAGGTTGTGGGGGCACTCTTTGGTGCTCTGGACGATGGCTATCTCATGGCGGATTTAGCCTTTTAACTCTTTACTCTCTAGGGTAGAATTCATTTTTTGTCTTGCCCTTGATGTCGATCTCTCCCCTAGAGGAGTTCATAAGGTTGAGTGGTCGTGGAGGACTCGACCACTCTATTGTATTCTTCAACATTGACATAGCTGTTGGCCAATTCTAATAGCCCAACGAGACTCTTTGGTTGTTACAGTCTGAGTTCATAATGAAAAGTACTATCCCATAGTCCTTAAGTTAGAGCTGCTCGTGCAACTGCAAGCTTCAAATCTTTTATTTCCAGCATTTATAATCTTATTAAGAAATTCCCTGGTGTCTCTCGGCTCCGACCTCATTTTCAAGAGAGCTTGCAAACTCTTGTAATGTTTCTGGGCAAGTGAACCACCTCAATGCTGACGTTTTTAGTGCTGTAAAGAATATGCGACATTTGAGCGCATCATCAATATTCAATAGGGAAGTCATTGAATCAAAAGTGGCTAGATGATCCAATGGATTGGCCTTATAAGACTCCAAGTGTGCAATCTTCAACCTGGGAGGCGGAATAGCCAAAAACAACCTTCATTTTTCTAAAATTTTTGGGAGGGGAGAATGACAATTCCTTAAACTGGGCATTTGTTTATAACCTCAAAGAAGACTTGTTGGATCCAAATTCTTTTCCTTAGGAAGAAGTGTTACTTTGTTGAATTTGCATGAACAAACTTCTAATGTCCATCTCAAATGTAGTTTGTTTGTTATGTGGAATTCAAGGCTATATTCAAATTGAATATAAAATTATGGAGGCCAAATGATTATACTTCTCTTTTTTTACTAATGCTTTGATATATTTATTTTTTAAAATATGCTTGATGATTAGATATAAAATTCGTTGTTTGTCATAGACAAGTTAATCACTATCCTTTTCAAATAGGTTTTTGATTTGTATCAACTGACAAGTAGTCAATCATGTTAAGATAACAATCAATAAAATTTGTGGGACTTCTTTTGCAGGTAAGTCATTATCCTGCCGTATTAGATGTTTGAATCATCCTGCATATCGATTTTGTGAATAATAGTGATTCAATTGGATCTATCAGTAGAAATTTACTTCATTGTTATTTATAATAAATCTGAACTCATGCAGACCTATGTAGCAATGTATAATATTTTGATTTCCATGCATTTTGAACTTCTTAATTTATTTTTAATATATATTTTTTGGCAGTTATAGAACACTTGAAGTATGCAGACTCCCATGAATGGGCTGATGTCGATGGAACTTACGCTAAAATAGGGATAACAGATCATGCACAGGTTATTCATGTCGTCATTTGAGCTCCTTCTGCCAGAGATTATATCCTTGGCCTGTTTTGTTGATTAATTTCACTTCTTTGGGAATCTGTCTTTATTCAAAACTTCTAAAAATGATCGAAGTTATCTCCATTTTCAGGACCACTTAGGTGATGTTGTTTATGTGGAACTGCCAGAAGTTGGTGCTACTGTGTCGAAGGGAAAGAATTTTGGTGCAGTTGAGAGCGTCAAGGCAACTAGTGATGTCTATTCTCCTGTATCAGGCGAGGTTATTGAAGTGAACACCAAATTAAATGAATCTCCTGGTTTGGTAAGGCCTCTTGTGGTAAATCTGTTTTCGAGTTTTGAAAGCAGCATAACGGCATTACTAGTTTGTGCCAATAAATTTTCATGTCCGCACACAGAGCATGATGGCTTTTAATTATTCAATAGATCTTTTTCCTGAATGTAGTATTATAAGCCTTTGTAGGTTGTACATCTGACAGGTCCTACTGTCCCGGCTTACCTTTTCTAGGACTTCAATTCAGTGAGATCTGGTTAGCCTGCTCAAAGTCCATCTTGATATCATTGGATCATCACGTTTTGTTAAATTACATAAAAGAGGACAACTCTCTTAGGGTGCTAGCTGTCTAGATTCTTCTCATGCTTTCATCACTTCTTTTGTTGCTGGAGTTACGGGACACGTGATGAACTTGAGAAAAACATTAGGAAATAGAGAAAAAAAAAGAAGAAAATGATTATGTCATTGAGTTGTTGAATTTTCTTGGCATGAAAATTAAAAACCTAAAATTAGGGTACACGAATTTTTCATGAACATCAAGATTCTACATATAAACATAAAAGAAAATTTCAATTATGGATAAAACTATCCTTAACCTTATTACATTATAATTTTTTTAAAGATGAATAATAAATAATGAAACTTCTTCCATAAATGCATTGGGTAAAGAAGGAGAACCTTTTTTATTAGCTCATTGGTGGCTTGTTTAATTTATAGATTTAGCATATGAAGAATTTTAGCTCGTCTTAGACGAATTGGCTGAATAATCATATCATAGTGGTGATACTGCATGTTTTCCCTAGGGTGAGAATATCTCTCATTCGGAGAGTGATTGTTGTAGAATCTCATTAGATGGTTGAAGCCAGCAATACATTCCATTAGAAGAATTATGGAATTTCTTGTTGGTATATGATTTCTCCATCGTGTAAGAATATTTATAGCTTTTTTAGAAGCTAGAAATAAACGTGTCAGTAGTAGAAACTAATCCACACCATGACTATTGTATACTCTCATATTCCATTTCAGATATTTAGTATGTTGTTTGCAGGGTATGGTAGAAATGCTTGTATTGAGTAGGGCCCACAAACTCATCCCAACGATCTTGAGATCTAGTTCAGAATAGAGTCGCCTCTCACAAACTTAATCCATTTTGTTAGAATATTTATAGCTTTTATTTATTTTTATTTGATATTGTTTTTTTTTTAACTATCAGATCCCTATAAATAAAGGGTGGAGAGGAATATTTTGGATCTTTTGAATACAATATCTTATGTATTCTTGATCCCTTTGATTACAAATATTACTGTTATTGGACTATAATCTACAGAGCTCTCTTTCTCTTTCTCTCTCTCTCCATCCTCACATAGGGGCTATTTGGTTAGAAGAAAAGTGAATGAAAAGTAAAGTAAATGCATTACTTTTTCACTTTTTGGTGTTTGGTTGAATGAAAAGCAAATCCAAGATAAAGTAAATGCATTGTATTCCATTTTAGTTTATTTTTTGAGGTACAACGTTCTCTCTCAATTTGAGCGAGAACGCTTTACACCTCTCAAGTGTTTCCTTGACCAGCCTCGGTGGCCAATGTCTCCAATGCCACCTTCCACTGCCGGACCCCGCCGCCGATAGTCACCGCAGCTCGCTGGGCCCCCGCTACCTTGCGTCTGCCTCTGCCACGCCACTCCCTGCTGTCGCAACGCCGATTGCTTGTTGCTGCAGACCACCGGCCTCTACTGCATCCCACCGCCCTACCGTCTCTTGACCTGCCTTCGCCAGCCGTCGCCGCCCATCTCTGCCTCTACCGCCGCCCCCCCACCGGCCACCTTGGTCACAACTTTCTTACAATTTACATACCATTCATTTTATGTCAAACCAAACAAAAAAAGTGAAGTCTTGCACTCCTTTTTCACTCATCCAAATAGCTCCAAAGTATACTTTTACACTATATTCCTTTTTCAGACAAACAAACAACCCCATAGTTTTTCATGTCAACTTTTTAGAGTCTCCTGCTTCTGAGGCCGGGTATCACTCACAGATAAATTTGGATCCAACATCCTAAAAGTTGTAATGTGCATGGATTGATGTTAGTGAGTAGAAAACTGACTAAACTCGATGAGTAGAATAGAACCCTTAGTAAACATGGAGAACCACAATTATATTACTTGCCTTGATCTCATGGAGATGGAGGAAAGGTTGAAAAAAAAATATTCAAAATGCCCTGGGAGGGCTACTTTGGTGTGCACAGAGGGAGATCACTCCTAAAGGATCATTTGCTGGGCGGTTCATTGTATGAGGCCAAATAGTAGGGCATTGACCTCAATATCTATCCCAGACCCCACTTGCATAGTCATGACTGATGATGAGTATAATCAACGAACTTGGCAAGTTAGGAATGAGACTAAGTATGCCAATGCATTTTTCAGGAAGATAGCAGAAGCTATGCAGCCTCCCATTTCAAGATACTACGTTGTCTCTTTTGATTTGATGACATTATTAGTGTATATTGTTGATTCCCTTACGTGCTGGATATTCTTCACGAACCTTAAGGAGTCGGTGATGAGATGGTTTACTTGCATAGTTGTAGAAATGATCACTTCCTCTTAAGAGTTTAGGAGAATGTTTGAGATACAATTTGCCAACACCCAGAAGCCTTAAAAGAATTTACAAACTCTCATGATGAGGCAGGAAGTTGGAGATACATTGAGAAATTTAATTAAGGTTTCAAAGGGAGTTGCTGGAAGTACAAGACTTGGAGTTTTTAGTCGTTAAGGCCACCTTAACTCAATGATTGAGAGAGTCTTTTCCGCCGCGCACTTGGTCTGCAATAGCTGAGAATGTTTGATGAATTGTTTGAGCTTGGTAACAATTATGTCAATGTTGAAGAATACAATAGAGTCGGCTGAGCCTTCTTCATTCACTCACCCATTTGAGCTCACCCTATGGAGATATTGACAGTAGAAAAAGGATCCATGCCAAGGATTGAAGTGACATGAGGCCTAATACACATCTAAATTGTCATTGTATAGGGCACCAGAGAGTGCCATTGTAGCCCAAACCGTAAGGATTATAATATCACTTGCATTAAAAATGGAGGAGCTTCCTTGGGCCACTCGCCCTCACATTAGGGAGGTACATGTCACGACCTGGCCCAGTGAACTCGCAAGTGCGAGGCGGGAACAGAGGTCGGACGGGAAAAGAGACAAGTTAACAAAGCATATCATTAAATCCTCCAAAATGAAAATTAACATCTTTACTACAAGAATGAAAGAGCCACTAAAGTAATTCCAAATAAGATTTTTCTATTTCATTTACCTTTCAAAAGAGATGATTACGTAAAAGTTCTTCTAATAGAATGGATTCCAAATCACAATTAACCCTCTCAAAAATCTATACATACCATCATCTATCAACAAAAATAACAAAACATCAAAAGAACCTGCCGCCCGTCGTCTCCCTACGACGGTAAGTGCGCGGTGGTTGGTCTGCCATTTACCCTTTCCTAGATCCTCCTGAAAAGTGTTCCCACAATGAGGGTGAGTCTTATACTCAATAGGTGAGAATGAAAATTCAAATAAACTTAGAATCAAGAGAGAAAAACTATAACATGCTTTGGGAATTTTAGCAAAAAAATCATTAATCATATAACAAGTTATGCTCAAAGAAAAATATACCTTTACCTCAACTTTCAAATGCTTAATCCTTCCATAACCTTTCCTTTCTTCCTTTTTAAAACATCATGCCTCAAGTGATAATCTCAAATGCATATAACATGTGTATGAAACATTCATAACAGTTTAATATATTTAACTATAACACCCGTCTCAGGAGTATCACTTGTACTGATCAGGTACATAAAATTTGTCCTTTTCCATTGGTTCATAGGAACCATCCTTTTCCATAGCTCATAAGAGCCTCCTTTTCTATGGCTCATAAGAGCCTCCTTTTCCATGGCTCATAAGAGCCTCTTTTTCCATGGCTCATAAGAGCCTCCTTTTCCATGTGATACTCCCGCGTCAACATACACATACATTTATTATTCATATAACTATAAGAGATGCTTTATGTAAATCATTCTTAAACTAACCACTTGTATGTTTCCTTAGAAAAATACATGCTTGATATGCTTATGTGTGCTTTTGCAAGTAAGAGGAAAGACATGTATAGCATAAAAAGAGAAATGAGCATGTGATTCATTCATAAATCGTACATTTGCATAAAAAAGACCCATTGCATTTGCTTCAAGTGTCTTTAAACTTACAAGGGATCATGAGCCATGAAAGTTTTGTGATGAGCATAAATGAATTGGTAATTTCTATGTAATTGCAATGAAAGAAAAGTTGTCTAACATTTATAAGAAAATCCATTCCACCTACCTCAATCCGTGCACTCCTTTCTTTGACCGATCAACTCTTTCCCTCCACACGATTTATCTCTAAAAGAAACATTTAAAGAAAAGCATAAGTGACTAATCCCTACACAATAAACTAAACCTTAATTCTAAAGTAATAAAAGAGTCATTTCTATGTTTTGTTTAAGTTCCAAATCAAACCCTTCCCATATTTCATGAAATCTCTCAACACATTTTCTCTCATTAAAAGTTTAGGCCAAATCCTTATATTCTAAGTATACAACACCCTTCCCTACCTTCAAAACATAATTAAAATAAATTCAATTTTCGGAATTAAATAAATAAAAAATTATAAAATATAGTTTTTCAAGCAAAACCCATGTATTTGCTTCTAAAATCCTCCCAACAACCTATGAAACCATGGGGATCAAAAATATCATGATTGAGAAAAAACCCTAAATCCTAAACTCAAAATTTTGCTTAAACCTTACAATGTCTTCCCATAAAACTTCCCCATACCCTTAGAAATATCTTTTGTGAAGGCATTTCCAAAGAAGATCAATTTTAAGTAAAATCCTAATTTTCAAAATTCATATTTTGATAAAAAAAATACACATTAGGGTTTAAAAACATCCCCCTAAACTTCCCTAAACTTTTCTCAAAAGAATCTCAAAGAAAACTTAAG